ATATTTTGCTGTTGGCTATCGCGCACCTGACCCTAGCTTTTTTTAAAAGTTCTTGCACGGGTCAGGACAAAAAATAAGCCATCTTGAATATCAGTCATGATACCACTATAACCACAATGCAAAGCGCTACGAAAACGTAATAAGGGGAATCTAGTATTCGCCATAATAAATCCCAATTTAGGCACGACTTTTAATTAATGAACTATTCTAAAAGTTCTAAACAATTAAGGATCAGGTGTAAATCCACTACAAATACATCCTTAGTATTTCATCATTTTCTAGAACCGACAAGTTCTATCAATGAAACTGCAGTCAATGTTAACGGTGATTCTGAACAAAAAACGAAAGCTAAAAAGAAATTGTCTTCTACCAAGAATTTGACGAGTGATGCCATACTTTCATGTCCAGCATGCCTCACAACACTTTGCATTGACTGTCAGAGGTAAGAGGGTACATGTACAAGTTGAACATTGTTCCTAAAGCATTGCTTTTGCTAGCCAAGTTTCCAGAAGGTCGCCAAACCAGGAAATACAAGTCAAGGAGAGCTTCGACGTTTCGAGCGAATCTACTACTAATTCCCAACGAAGGGCCTTCGATCGAAACGTCGAAGTTTCCCTTGTATTTTTACGCAGTTGAATCCCTGCCCATCAGTCAATCAATCAATCAAAAACTTTATTTAAGGCCGGTAAAATCTACAGTAGCTATATAGTACAAAAATAACATTTTGAAATAAGAATTAGCTCACACTGAAATAAGGTTTACAAGAGGGCAATTTACACTTTTACAAATATTAAGACACTACAACATGCTACTGATTTACAAGATTGCCGTGCGGGAGTCTGACACTCGTATATATGGAAAATAGGTTGTCAATTTCTTTTTTGAATTGACTAAGAGAGCATATTGCTCGTACATTTCGAAGTAACTCATTCCACAACACTGCCCCGTTGTAACTAAAACTTCGTTTACCATAGTTCGTTCGTGGTTTTGGCACAAATAAAGTGTTTTCAGAGTTTCTCAAATTGTATCCTGTGTTAGTGATGATCCTCCCTGCCTACAGTCCTCTGGAGATTTTGGCACTACCTACGTTAAGCTTCGGATACACAAGCAATATTTTTGCTGCGATGGTTTACGCAATGGGTGATGACAGCATTGCGTTGCCGTCGCACAAGGTGGCTACACCTGCAATATTTCACCTGCAATATATGTCTTCATAACGCTTTTCATTGGCTGGTCAAGAAACGTGTCACTCATCAACCTTGACCTTCCTTGACTACACCTCCCAATTTTCGGCAATCATTGCCGAAAATCAAATGATTTGAAATTTCGGCAACGATTGCGCGCAGCTTTGCGTTGGCGTCGCAGAGCATGATACACAAGCAATTTCTTTCTCACAACGGCAATGCAACGATTTTACCACCATTGCATTGCCATCGCCAGAAAAGTATTGCCCGTGTATCCGTAGCATTAGCACATATCATTCGAATGATTGTTTCCAGCCATAAACCGGAGGAAACATTGTTTTTTAGCAATGCTTTCCAAAAGCGAGCAAACACTATTTCCTAGCCATGTTTTCTGAAGGTGGGCAAACCAAGGAACACTGTTTCCTAATCCTAGGTATGTTTCCTGAAGATGAAGATGGAAAACCAAAACATTGTCTTCTAGCCGTGTTTCTCGAACGTGGACAAAGCAAGAAAACAGTATTTCTTGACCATGTTTCCAGAAAGTGGGCAAACCAGTAAACACGGTTTCCAAGCCATGTTATACCCGAAGATGAAAAACCAGAACACTGTTTCCTAGCGATGTTTGCCGAAAGTATGCAAACCTAGAAAAAATGTTTCCTGGCCATATTTCCTGAAGGTGGGCAAACCAGGGAACATTGTTTCCCAGCCATATTTTCCGAAGGTGTACAAACCTGGAAACATTGTTTCCTAGCTATGTTTCCCGAAGGTGGACAAACTTGGAAATATTGTTTCCACATCAATTGATAAATCAATTTGTTTTCGTTTAGGCACGATATATACAAACAACAGTTTCGGGCAATGTTTGTAATGAACTGTAAAGTAATAGCTGACGAAACATTGCGTTACGAAGCTAAGAAACAGAAGAAAAAATCATCGAAGAAAAATAAAGAACTACTACCTGACGTTTCGTTGGAACAACAAGAACTCTACAATCCTGTTCAGTGTACTTCATGTAATACTGAAGTTGCGGTCTTCGACAAGGACGAAGTTTATCATTTCTTTAATGTTGTTGAAAGTTTACCATAAATAATATGGCCAATAAATTAGTGAAGCGATTTTGTAAATAACTACAGCCGGAAAGTACAGGATAGCTTTATTTCACTTTAGATAATACTTGTTTACAAAACAAACATAAAACTTAGTATAATTATATTGTATATAATACTGATCTTGGCAAGGGAAATCGTATGTGTAGTTATGCCGCAAAGGCGAGCAGCTTTTCTTGAAAAAATGAATTTGCTCATATGTACTAATGTACCACAAAAATTGACAAGATTATATTTCTTTCACAAGTTGGTCATGTTGTAGCTGATCAGGAATCTTCTGAAACCTTTCAAATTTATAAAGAAAACGCAGCATTTCACAGCTGTTTTGACGAACAAAACTCACTGTTCCTAAAAGTTGCGAGTATTTGGCAAATCTATACTGTAGTAAAAACAACATTCTCAAAACGCCGGCCCGTAACCGCGCGTCCTGGATCTCCAATTAACCTCATGAAAGTTTCGTTATAGTCTTATAGACTAATTTGAACATGCCGATTTTAATTCTGAGCTACATTTTTGGCAAAGAGGCTGAGAGCCGTAGATAGTGAGATGAAAAATTGTTGACGTCATCTCGAATCGGAGAATTTATGTGTTCTGGGCGCACGAACAGTTATACAGTGTGATATTTCCAAAAATAGACTAAATTTGTACTTATAAAGGAAAACGCAGTGCATTTTTTAAGGACTCTTCAGTGGTGGGGCAAAACTGCCAAAGGGCCCATTTTCCTTGCCCTCGCCCCAGGATAGTGTGCGATTGCCGAAGGTGTGAGCCGGTTAGCTGGGGGGATCTGGGGGCATGCCCCCAGGAAGTTTTTGAAATTTGGGTCTCTGAAATAGCATTTCCTGCATTCTGAGAACATATTTCTTAAAAAATCTCAGCTTCTCAAAACAAAGTTTTAATGGTGAAATTTATAATAAATTGCATGCTAAATATTCAAACAACGTAAGTTTAAGTATGCTCACCAACACTTTTTGTTTTTTTAAACTTCTTTTCAATGTTAAACTCATTTACTCAATACAGGTCCTGGGGGCCTGGCTTTGGGGCAATAGGCCATTTTATTTTTTTCTTCAGTGGTGGGGCACAGGAAGGGACCCAGTGGGGCAAATCCACCACCAGTCCATGGTATTAAAAAATGCCTTGGGAAAATGTGCTCCATATACTAAATTTATTTGATTCTTTCATCAAGTTTCTCCAACATGATTGCCATGACGTGTCCCTTACAAATCTCGAAAAGAGAATGCTTATCCACAACCACAAAACCAAGTATTACGAAAGTCACCGAACTGTGGAATCGCATAAAAAATTCGTATATCGACCACTCCCACAAACGTCTACGGCCGCGCCTACATAGTTTGCATGTTTACAATTCTAATTTTGAACAGCCAATCAGGTTCTTGCTAACAATTACAATTAAACGTCGATTGGCTGTTTAAAATTAGAATTATAAACATGCAAAAATATGTAGGTTTGGTCGTAGACGTTTGTGGGAGTGGTCGATATACAAATTTTTTATGCGATTCCACAGTTGGTGACTTTCGTAATAAATGCATTCAGTATATTTTAGATATCGTAATATAATACAGTCATCATTTACAAAATAAAATAGAGCTAATGGCGTAACTTTTTTTTTAACTCAATTATAATTTAATTTAAAAAATCCTTTATTATCTAATTAATTTATTATTAACTTGTTCTTACTCTGATTGTTAAAGAACAAGTTGTACAACAAATGATGTTTTCTCCATTAGATAAGTTTTCATTTGTGATTTCATATGAACCACTACAGCGACATGGCCATGTGTAATACTTGTATGCTAGAAATTTGGAGAAAAAAGTCATTGAAATTCAGAAGCAGATCCAGACTTACCCCAGAGTGGGGACTGGGGAGGAGCAACCTGTGACCCCATTGTATAGGTGCTTTTAAAGGTCCATAAATTATGCAAGTTCTGGTTAGCCTTGTTCAATGTCAACTTTTCAGGGGGGAGTGAGACTTCAAGAATTGGAGAACTCAGAAGGTATTTAATAATAACATTATACAAGTGCAGCAAAGACAATCGATACCTTCATCAAATTCCATTTCAGACAGTTTTACTTCGGCATCAACTGGCCAATCTTGGTCAAGTTGTTGCTCTAGGAATGATAAGATCATATTTTAATATAAGACTTTCCCATCTTGACATGCAACTCCATCACTCCAATGAAGGTAGGCAATTATATTTTTCAAGGGGAAAGTACTGGGTAATGGGTTAATATTTAGTATAAGTAACTAGTAATTATGTAAGTAAATATAGTGGCTCACTGTAACTAAAAGCTCTATGGCTACCCGGCCGGCCACCAAATTAGTCTCTCAAACTACAGTGAAATAAGATATAAATCAAGATGGACACAAACAACAAGCTTTCCACTATAAGCATACCTCTCAACATTGCATCATATTCAATCCTAGTCTTGGAGTCACTCAATGTCTTCCATGCTTTGTCAATGAGATAAAAATAATCTTTTGCTTCATCACTGGTACATGTCATGCTTTCTGCATCATATTTGTCTGGATGGTACTATACAATCATCAAGATTTAGGATGGAATGATTAGTTAGTGCACAAAGTGATAGAAGAAAAATTAGAAACTAAAACCTAGGAAACATATTTCTCCATACCTGGTATAGCAAAATCTAAAATTTTCTGTGCACATTAAATATAAAACTTCCTGCATAGATAGAATTTGGACATATGGTGCCTCACATTGTCATAAACTTTTATCTAGGCACAAGGCAATCTCAATTTGCAAAACATTTTTGGAATTTTTAAGAAATAAGTATAGGTTATATGCCCAGTACATATAAGATGACAAAAATTCCTGCTTGGTGTAAGAAAATTTCCTGCAAAGATATTTTGTTAAAAATTTCTTGGGAGCAGTGCTGCTGGCGCTGCCAGACTTTTCCAGCAGCACTGAAATCAATATCACATATTTTGAAACTGATTTATTTCTCATATAATATTTCAAAAAACATCACTAAAGAGTAAAGATTAACACTTCAAAGATTCCTCTAGTATTTTCCTTATAGAAGGAAGCCGGACAAAATTGAGAAGGGAGATAAAGCAGGCGAAAAAGATTACAAAAGTCCATGAAAAATCCACAAGTCATAAAGTGTCCACCTTTAAAACAAGCACTTGATACATCCTTTTAATTTCATTTTGACTGGCATTTGGATCAACTCCCAGCACCTCGTAAAAATTACCACTAGAAAATTGTTTATCCGTCATTGTGTACGCCATTTCTTCCGCCTTCGTTCCATATTTCGTTCTAGAAATGTAAAAGATTCGGCAAGAGTTTCTGAAGTCTGAAGTGTTCCAGAATTACCTGAAATTAATCTTCCCTCGCGTGACGTGTCCGATGTCCCGTCACGCGTGTAAATACTAAAAGTGCGTGATTCCAATATGGCGGTCGCAACTCGATTTTTCAGGGCAAGTTTAAGTTCATATTTACGGCAAGGAAACCAGGTATTTTTACGGATTTTTGTATCTTATTGAGCGTATAACTATTATCTTACATTAGGACAATTTAAATTTTTTTAAAGAAATTT